TCCCTCGTGTTTTGTTTTGTTACTGTATTGTCTCATGTGCAGTCCCCCCACTATAATGTACAGCGCTGAGCAAACTTTTTAGCGCTATATAAATACTGTATAATAATAATAACAGCTTTCCAACAACCTTAACCTCCTAACATTTGACATTTTAACATTCAATTAATATACTAATCACTAACCTAATCCCATTGTCCAGGAATGGATTCAGCACTGGTGGTGGGACTCTCCTGCCGTGTGGGCTGCAGTACCAGAGCTGACCAGCGGGTGCTCTCAGCACTGGTGGTGGGACTCTCCTGCCGTGTGGGCTGCAGTACCAGAGCTGACCAGCGGGTGCTGTTAGCAGCCAGAAGCTCACAATCAGCCAAACCTGGGGCTGATTACAGAAAGGTGTATATAAGGCATGACCAGCCTGTACTCTGGGGCCTTGGTGTATTTTTTCCCATGAGTGAGCCCCTGTATCCTGTTCCTAGTTCCTGTGAGAGGATACCTTGTTGCCGACCCTGCCTGATCCTGATTCCTGTTGACCGTTCTCCTGTTCTGACTACTGGCTCATCCCTTACCATCCTTCTGCCTGATCCTCTGTACTGCGCTGTCCGTGAGTTACTGAACCCGGCTTGTGACCTTGACCATTCTCTGCCTGCTCCTTTGATACCTTGCTGCCCGCACGTTGCTACCCCCTACTTGGCCGTCTGACCACGCTAACTACTAACTACTGCCATCCATCCATCCTGCACGGATCCAGCCGTACCTGCACATACCTCTGGCGGATCCTCTATCACTAGCAGGTGTACTCAGGGGCCGCGACCTGGTTCCTGTCTGCTCCAAGTCCCATCCCCACCATCAGGGCCCTGGTGAATAGCAGACTGGGGACTTAGACTCCGCGCCCTGGGGAATCCTGCCCTGGGGACCGTTAGAGGTACCACCAGGCAGTCGTTACAGAACCCTACGGCCGGCCTGACCATTCCACCTCTCCAGCCCTGACTACGCCTGTGTTCTTGCACCTCCTAAGATTAGTGGAAGGTTGGTTTGCTCACTGTGCGTTTATATATATATATCTGGGTGGCTAATAATAACCTGTATTATACTATTCCTGAAACCTGCGTTTCCCTGTGTCAGTCCACAACCTTTCTGGTCATTCCTTGATTCCTGACATCACACCAAGGCCTTTCCTGACCAGAAGTGGCTGCACAGGGAAGCCATCTTGACTTGTTGTGCAGGATGCATCCTGATGAGGTTATATATTTGTCTATGCTAGTCTTTGATGACAGAGAATATGCCTATAAGACTCTGCGGGAGTATACCAGGGATCAGCTGCTAGAGTGCATACGGGTCGCTCATTCCCTAGTAGGTCAGGTCCTAGAGCTCCTTCTGAGGTGCAACCATTGATTCAGGCTTGTGTTGAGTTGGCTTCATCTAGTACCCCTGAAAGCAGGGATGAATTCCTTCCTCCATTCAGGGCGAGTCAAATAATATCACTGGTATGGTTGTTGGAGGATGATCCGGATTGCTTTTTGGAGCATTATTCAGCATGTTCACCACATGTGCTGAAGAAGTGTATAAACGCAGTGCAATCTTTGACCAGACAGGCCTTGTGTAAGCTGAGCGTTGTCCAACCCTTACTGCAGACATGGTCAGACTTGTTACACCCAGCCTCAATCGGCTTGCAACGAACCAGTCCTGTTTCTCATCATTCCTCTGCTCAAAGCTCTTTTCCTGCATTTCCAACAGCACCCCCAATGACAGCCCCCCCAGGGACAGCCCAGTATACCCTGCTATCTACCACATGTCAGTACCCTGCTCCCACTCGCTGTACCATCGTGCCAGTCGACTCGGTGCCCGCTGTCAAGCCAGATGACTTGATGCCTGATGACTCGGTGCCCGCTGTCAAGCCAGATGACTTGATGCCTGATGATTCGGTACCCGCTGTCGTGCCCGTTGACTTGGTACCCGCTGTCGTGCCCGTTGACTCGGTGCCCCTGTCGTGCCAGTTGACTCGGTGCCCACTGTCGTGCCAGATTGACTTGATGCCCACTGTCATGCCAGTTGACTCGGTGCCCGCTGTCGAGCCCAGTTGATGCCAGTTGACTCGGTGCCCGCTGTCGTACCAGTTGACTCGGTGCCGCTGTCGTACCAGTTGACTCGGTGCCAGTTGACTCGGTGCCCGCTGTCGAGCCAGATGACTTGATGCCTGATGATTCGGTGCCAGTTGACTTGGTGCCCGCTGTCGTACCAGTTGACTCGGTGCCAGTTGACTCGGTGCCCGCTGTCGAGCCAGATGACTTGATGCCTGATGATTCGGTGCCAGTTGACTCGGTGCCCGCTTGAGCCGGATGACTTGATGCCTGATGACTCGGTGCCCGCTGTCATGCCAGTTGACTCGGTGCCCGCTGTCGAGCCAGATGACCTGATGCCTGAGGACCCAGTGCCCGCTGTTGAGCCACATAAACCTGATACCTGATGACTTGGTGCCCGCTGTCGTGCCAGTTGATTCAGTGCCTACTGTTGTGCCAGTTAATTGGTGCCTGCTGTCGAGCTTGGTGACCCGGTACCCGCGGTTCTGCTAGAAGGCTTGGTGCCCGCTGACGTGCCCGGTGACTCTGTGCCCGCTGTCGTGCCAGATGACTCGGTGCCCGCTGACGTGCCTCTGCCCGCTGCACAGCCCGACATGCCAGCCCCTGATGTCCAGTTAAACTGGCCGATAACTGATTCCCAGCCTACTCCTGGAATTCCTGTGCCCAGTGACCTGCCTTCCTGGGTTCTCCTACACAAGGAGAAGTTTACCAGCAGGAAACCCAGCCAGCCGGTTTACTCCGGCAGTAGGATATTCAGCCAGTTACCGGACCCGGGCGGTGGAACATTTTGCCCACTAGGGACTGTTTGGAGCGTCCTGAGGCCGCTCCTTGAGGGGGGGGGTTCTGTCAGGAATGGATTCAGCACTGGTGGTGGGACTCTCCTGCCGTGTGGGCTGCAGTACCAGAGCTGACCAGCGGGTGCTCTCAGCACTGGTGGTGGGACTCTACTGCCGTGTGGGCTGCAGTACCAGAGCTGACCAGCGGGTGCTCTTAGCAGCCAGAAGCTCACAATCAGCCAAACCTGGGCTGATTACAGAAAGGTGTATATAAGGCATGACCAGGCCTGTGCTCTGGGCCTTGGTGTATGTTTTCCCATGAGCCCCTGTATCCTGTTCCTAGTTCCTGTGAGAAGATACCTTGTTGCCGACCCTGCCTGATCCTGATTCCTGTTGACCGTCTCCTGTTCTGACTACTGGCTCATCCCTGACCATCCTTCTGCCTGATCCTCTGTACTGCGCTGTCCGTGAGTTACTGAACCCGGCTTGTGACCTTGACCATTCTCTGCCTGCTCCTTTGATACCTTGCTGCCCGCACGTTGCTGACTTGGCCCGTCTGACCACGCTAACTACTCTGCCATCCATCCATCCTGCACGGATCCAGCCGTACCTGCACATACCTCTGGCGGATCCCTCTATCACTAGCAGGTGTACTCAGGGGCCGCGACCTGGTTCCTGTCTGCTCCAAGTCCATCCCCACCATCAGGGGCCCTGGTGAATAGCAGACTGGGACTTAGACTCCGCGCCCTGGGGAATCCTGCCCTGGGGACCGTTAGAGGTACCACCAGGCAGTCGTTACAGAACCCTACGGCCGGCCTGACCATTCCACCTCTCCAGCCCTGACTACGCCTGTGTTCTTGCACCTCCTAAGATTAGTGGAAGGTTGGTTTGCTCACTGTGCGTTTATATATATATATATCTGGGTGGCTAATAATAACCTGTATTATACTATTCCTGAAACCTGCGTTTCCCTGTGTCAGTCCACACCTTTCTGGTCATTCCTTGATTCCTGACACCCATGCATAAAAGTAATAGCACCAGTATTTTGGTGCTGAAAACCCATTTGTAAGGTAATTATTGCTTTCTGACTTCACCTTTAATAGTTTCTTGCAACTCTACTTGGATAACCCTCTTTTATTTTGTGTTTTAGAGACCCTCCCAAAATGTACTACTTAAACAACCCTCCCACTAGCAGTTTTGCCTCGTTTCCTGGGCTGTTCTGTTGTGAGTATGGACTTTGTTTCACAGTAACATATCACAGTTTCGAACTAGACATCAAACCAACACCCATCATTTCTCAGTTGATGACATAGGGCTCTTTCTCAAAACATTGAGCTTCCACAGCAAATCTAGCTCCAAGGTTCATTGTACCATTTCCTATGATCAAGAAAGTAAGGCATGAATTCTATCGATTGGAATTTCTAAGTTGGCAAAAGATTCTAAATATTGTATACAAGCCCTTGTTTAACTCAACAAAGAAATATCCAGCCCTCATCTCTAAGACCTTCTCTAATAATGGATGGAGAACTGTAATATAAAATTAGCATGATTCTTGTTGCCCATGAGCTAAATGAGAGAAATCTAAATGTGTAAGCCTTTTGCAAAAGCTTTCACAAGAATTTTCTAGATAAAATGTATACTGCAAGTCCAGAGGTCCCTCCTCAACGAGAGTTTATTGTTTACCCATCCTGTTTAAAAACACAATGGAAACAAACTTTTTTCCTGCTTGCTTCTCAACAGAATAGGATTAAGGGGCTAACTTTTGTCACATATACAATTTTTCAAAAATAGTTATTTAGCAAGCTTATAGTACAGATAAAAAATATTAAGCTGAGTACACTCTAGTAGAATTTCATACAAAAGTTTGTAAGAAAAATCTTAGGAAAGTTTGTATAACAATTCTTAGAACATTCGAATATTATTTGAAAAAAGTTAAAGATTTTATTGCCTTTTCAATTTTGGAATGAATAAACTTTAACAAATGAAAAGCACATATGCTGTTAGAAATTTGTACATTCCAAAAAAATATTAACATTTTCTCATTACTGCGAACAAAAACAAAGATTAACACAGCAAGCACCGGGTCATGGTGCCGCAAGCTCCCAGGGAGCGTGTACAGGCTGTAAATGTGGGCACTGTTTATGAACGGTAACCCGCTCCTGTACTGCTCCATTTTTGTACATGGGCCGGATGGGAGCAGTGCAGAAGCGGGTTGCCGTTCATAAACGCATTTACAGCCTGTGCGCGCTCCCTGGGAGCGTGCGGCACCACGATTCGGTGCCCTCTCTGTCCGGAGGACACAGCGGAACACCGATCGCTGTACCTCTGTGTGAGGTCCAATCAGTGATCACATGAATAGTAGTAAGCACGATGTCAGTTGCTGACATCATTGCTTACTACTAGTGAAATCTGTGAATTATCACAGAGGTCACATGGTACAAGGCTATTCACAACAGATGACATACAGATGACCAATCACAGCTCTCACAGTATTTCTCAATGGCTGCAAGAATGCAGCCAGAGAGAAGGAGAAATTATTGCTTTTGCAGCCTTTATGGGTATAAAAGCAATCATAATTTTTGGTTATAAACTAATTTGTGTTATTTTTTTTAGTAAAAAGATAAATAAATATATTTTGGCCAGGATTTATGAGATTTATGAAGAAAGGTTATTTATGAGAAAAACACTTTTTTTTTTCAACATTTTTGGACTTTTTCATTTATATAGCAAAAAAAAAAAAATAAAAATCCCAGTGGTGAATAAATACCACCAAAATAAAACTTTATCTGTCTCAAAACAAATGCTAAAAAAATTCATATGGGTACAGTGTTACATGATCTCGCAATTGTCATTCAAAGTGTGATAGCACTGAAAGCTGAAAATTGTCCTGGACAGGAAGGGGGTAAAAGTGTCCGGACTTGAAGTGGTTAAAGTGGTTGTAAAGGCTCAAGGTTTTTTACCTGCATGCATTCTATGCATAAAGGTAAAAAACCTTCTCTGTGCAGTATCCCCCCAATACTCACCTAAGCCACCTCACGATTTAGCAATTTGCACTGAAGTCTTGGCTGAGACAGCAGTGGAAGCCTTTGGCTCCCACTGCTGTCAATCACAACCAGTTGGTCAATTAGAAGAGAGCGGGGGTGCGGCAGAGCTGAGGCTCCATGTGTGAATGGACACAGGGATCAGAGGCTGTTGAGTGAGCATGCTTGGGTGCCCCCATAGCAAGCTGCTTGATGTGGGGGCACCCGACAGGAGGGAGAGGCCAGGAGAGCTGACGGGGGACCCAAGAAGAGGAGGATCCGGACTGCTCTGTGCAAAATCACTGCACAATGCACGTAAGTATAGACATGTTTGTTTGTTTTTAAATGTAAGCCTTTAGAATCACTTTAATGATTACAAAAACAAACAAACGATCTTACAACATTTATATGGAAACCACTGCGCACACTGGTAACCACTCTTAGCCCAGCTGCTGCTCCCAGAAGTACATCCTATACTTCCACAGTACATTTACCAGACAAACTACCAGTACAGTGATAATATTTCAAAATCCACAAAAATTCTTCATTCATCTTCAAGGCTTTCGGAACAGAGTGTTTACGCTTCTGAGGCAGGTCACTAGAGTTTTCATTCTGCAATCGGCACAAGTTGCTCTGTTGAATGAACCACTTAAAAAAGTGTCATTAGCTACTCAGAATGACATTTTTCATCCTCTTATCAGCTAAATTAAATAATGCTAGGTCTTGAAAGAAGACTTCTGTTCCCATCTCCCAGGTACGGCATAAAATCTTGTGGATCATGACTCACAAGAAACTAGCCAGCATTATCCATTACTCTAATAAATGGCTTGCAAAGTTATAGAGCCCTTGGGCTCAGTATATGCATATTAATCTCTAGGGAGCTCTCTAGAGCACTTCTCTTGTCCCTGGGATCCCTTCCATTTTTTTCCCCTTTCCCTTCCTTCTTCTTCTTTTACCCTTTCCCTAATCTCTACTTTTCCCGTTCTTAAAAGAGAAGTATGGGCTTTTAAAAGGAAAAAAAACATTACTTACCTAGGTGGATGCAGCATCAATTCAATGCTGCATCTGTTCCCTGCTGGCTCTGCAGTGAGAACTGAGTAATCAAACACAGATGATCGCTCCCTTCTCCACTCCACTCTGAGCAGAGAGCCATGACTGTCAGTCTCTGGCTCTCTGCTCTGCCCCTCCAGCGCTCACTGGAGCGGTAGGCTGTGGAGAGTATGGGAGGGGCTGGCTTAGGCTCTCAGCAGATTGCTGAGGGGCTAAGCCAGGTGCCGGCCCAGGCTTCTTGAAGGATCCTGACCATATGTTCGGAATCTTTTCAGAGCCTGGAATGGCTCTGTGACGTCAGCCAACAATAGGCTCATAGGAGTGCAGAACAAACTACACTCCTGTTATCCAAAAAAGCTTTGGCTACTTCTCTCCTAATTTTGTTGTTTTGATGAATACATATTCTGGCAATCCCTGATTGACATAATGAATTAACGAAATGCGTGGGGTGGTCTCCAGGTGATTATGTCACTTCCACTCCATGGGATGCTGTGGAACATACACTCGTACTCAGTGGGAAGCAAGTGAAGCATTGCTGCTATACAGGAACTAGGCTGATTGATCCAGGTGCTGGATGGGCACCATGTAAGTGTGAGTTTTTACTTGTTTATTTTATTGCTTTTAATAAACATTAATGCAGTAATGTTTCTTTTCTCTGAGAGTACTGATTAAGGAGGAGTGTAGTGGACCTGGTTTATGAACCTGGCTGGTCTCTCTTGTTGCTGGGGTATGGATGAGCAAGTTGATTACTAAGGAAGAGATAGGATTTTTAACCCCCAAAGTGCTGTTGTGATTTTCTTATATGCATAAGTCACAATTTGTCTGGTGAATGAGCACAGACAAAGGAAGAAGGGAAAAACCCTGAAGAGCACGTGTGTGTTGAGTTGAAGTGGTGCACAGAAACACTTGATTTTGCACCAATAGAGACTTTATATGATTGTATTTTTTTTTTCTGGAGTTTACTTTTCTACTTGCTTTTGCTTAACTATTTATGAAGAGTTTTTTTTTATTGATATACAGTATTAGTGCTGCACCATTTTATTATCTGTTGAATTATTACAACATTCTTACAATGAAAAATATTGAACAAAATTCAACTAGTATATACAGGCAGTCCCTGAGTTACAAACATCTGACTTACATACGACTCATACTTAAGAATGGAGGCAGCATGACATCATGCTGGTCCCAGAAACCGCCGAGCGAAAACATTGCTGCTCAACCCTGGAATGTTTAGCCTTGGTACAGATGAACAAGGTGACACACACGGGTAAAACGGCAATTAAAAGTTAATTTCCCACATCTGTGACTTTTTAAATTGCAATTAGTGTCTGTGTGTAAATAGTGAGTTTATTAGCTCTCACATGGATGCACTGAGCAGACTATATATACTGAGCCATGGGGAGCATAAAATAAGTCATAAGACCTGCATAACAAGTTAATGCAACTTTATAAGGATGGAACAGGATATAAAAAGATATACAAAGCCTTGAATATGCCAGTCTGTACTGTTCAATCACTTTTTAAGAAGTTTAGGGATCTCTTGATACCAAGCCAACGTCAGGTGGACCAAGAGAGATTGCAGCCACAACTGCCAGAAGTATTAATCAAGTCACAAAGAAAAACTGTACCTGTTCCAACTTACATACAAATTCAACTTAAGAACAAACCTACAGAAGGGACTGCTGTAACTGTAATGTAAAAACATATTGTTACCTTCACAGTGAGGAAGGCCTCTTGACCAACCAGTTGCTGTGCACTCAATAGTTTTATGTTTGCTAATCATTTGATACCTAAGGAATAGAAATATATACATTCAGAACAAAGCACAATATACAACATACATAAGATTTTTTTAAAATAAAGAAGCCAATGATAACAGACACGTGAAAAGCATTCTCACATGATTACTTAATGCATATTCATTTTCTTTTTTACTATACATTATTCTGTACTGAAATGCCATTATTACCAGCTACTTGTTTAATGGGCAGGCTGACCATTACCTGGCAAGGATGCAGGCAAAAGGCTAAGGAGTAGTCAAACAGTCCAAGACTAGGTCCAAGTGGGCAAAAGGAAGTCAATTGGATTAAACACAGAATAATTTTAATACAAGTGAGGCAAAGTAGCTGGGCATGGATGGCACAAAAAAAGTGAAATTATCATCATTTTGGATTCTGTCAGAAGTTATTTTTAACTAGTAGAGCTGTAAACCAAAGCCAAAATGTAGAAAACGTTGCTGTCTGGGATTGGAATGAGGTTAGGACAGGAAGAGTTTATGTGAGGCAAACAAGTCAAGTCAGCAGCAAAGGTAATTCAAGAAGACTGGACTGAGTTGCGGCTAGCAGTAAACATTACAATATTCACCCAGACTTTAGACTTATTCCTTTTTCAAAGGAACCCAGACAAATCAGATTGCACAATGACACCTACTAAGTTGTGAGCGTACCTGGCCACTACTGTTTACTGCATTGTTCACCTGATGGGTAAAAAGTGTGCATGTGCTGGGACAGAAACGGAGCCCAGGAGCACCCAGATTAGCTTGCAGTGAACACTTGTTTTCAGGAAAACTCAAAGGAATGTATAGGAAAGGTGTATAAGAGATTCCCCTTATACAGCAGAGCTAGTCTAAATATTAACTGCTTATGAAGTGCAAAACAATCCTTATCAAAGTAAGGTGAACACAGAATGAAAATGAATACATCATGTATCCCAATAGGTGAACAAACAAATATGTTAAAACAAATCTTGAAGTCCAGATAAATGTGCAGACAAAAATCATCCAATTGTAATACAACAATAGAAATAGTTCATAGCCAGTCCAAAAAATGTTACTTCATAAATGATGCACAGGGGCAGACTGACAACTCATGGGGCCCCAAGGCAATAGGGGATCATGGGGCCCCTGTGTCCTTGCCCAAACTAAAAAAAGCCTATGAAAAAGGTACCAGGGGCATCTCATGGGGCCCCCTACTGACTCCGGGCCCTCGAGCAGTGCCCAAGTTTCCAAATGGTCAGTCCGCCCCTGAGATGCAACCAGTGAGTTCTTAAGTTGACGGAAAAAAAAATGTGTATCCAAGTGTTCCTTCTACCCAAATCCTGCTCATGCACCCACCCTGGGACAATGGAATTAAGTATCTGAGCTGTTTATGGGAGATTATTCTCCTGAAAGCTGTTCAGGTAGTGTGTCCATCTACCTTTAGGAAATCCATGCTGTCCTTGCCTTTCTATATTAAGTTTGGTATCTTTTTTTTGTGAGTGCATTTCCAGATTTTTGTGGAGGGAGCACTTGGATACACATTTTTACTTCCACTTGATAAGTCACTGGGTGCATCAGTGATGAAGGAGTTTTTTTGGACTGGTTTTTGTTACATACAGTTGCAAGAAAAAGTATGTGAACCCCTTGGGATTACGTGGAGTTTTGCATAATTTGGGCATAAAATGTGTTCTGAATGTCATCTAAGTCACAACAATAGAAGAACACAGTCTGCTGAACATAATACTACACAAACATTAGATGTTGCCATGGTTTAATTGCACATAACATGTAAACATTCACAGTGCAGGGAGGAAAAAGTATGTGAACCTTTGGACTTAATAACTGGTTGACCCTCCTTTGGCAGCAATAACCTCAACCAAACGTTTTCCGTAGTTGCAGATCAGATCTGCACAACGATCTGGAGTAATTTTGGACCACTCCTCTTCACAAAACTGTTTCAGTGTAGCAATATTCTTGGGATGTCTGGTGTGAATCGCTCTCTTAAGGTCATGCCACAGCATTTCAATCGGGTTGAGATCAGGACTCTGACTGGGCCACTCCAGAAGGTGTATTCTGTGCTGTTGCAGCCATTGTTTTGTTGAATTACTTGTATGCTTTGGGTCATTGTCCTGTTGCATCACCCATCCTCTGCGGAGCTTCAGTTTGCGGACAGATGGTTGTACATTTTCCTGCAAAATGTCTTGATAAACTCTGGAATTCATTTTCCCATCAATGAAAACAATCTGTCCAGGCCCTGAGGCAGCAAAGCAGCCCCAAACCATGATGCTCCCTCCGCCATGTTTTACAGTGGGGATGAGGTTTTGATGTTGGTGTGCTGTGCCTTTTTTTCTCCACACATAGTGTTGTGTGTTCTTCCCAAACAACTCAATCTTGGTTTCATCTGTCCACAGTATATTTTGCCAGGAGTGCTGTGGAACATCCAGGTGCTCTTTTGCAAACTTCAAACGTGCTGCAATATTCTTTTTGGACAGCAATGGCTTCCTCCGTGGTGTCCTCCCATGTACTCCATTCTTGTTTAATGTTTTCCTTATTGTAGATGTGTCAACAAAAATGTTAGCATGTGCCAGAGATTTCTGTAGGTCTTTAGCTGACACTCTGGGATTCTTCTTTACCTCATGCAGCATTCTGCACTGTGCTCTTGCAGTCATTTTTACAGGACGACCACGCCTAGGGAGAGTAGCAACAGTGCTAAACTTTCTCCATTTGTAGACAGTCTGTCTTACCGTGGACACATGAACATCAAGGCTTTTGGAGATACTTTTGTAACCCTTTTCAGCTGTATGCAAGTCAACAATTCTTGATTGTAGGTCTTCTGAGAGCTCTTTTCTGCGAGGCATGGTTCACATCATACAGTGCTTCTTGAAACCAGAAAACCAAAAACAGGTGTGTGTTTTTTAAGGGCAGGACAGCTGTCAGCAACACATCCAATATCATCACACTGATTGGAGTCAGGTTGGCTCACTCCTGGCTCCAATTAGCTCTGGGAGAAGCATTAAGCTAGGGCCTCACATACTTTTTCCTCCCTGCACTGTGAATGTTTACATGTTATGTGCAATTAAACCATGGCAACATCTAATGTTTGTGTAGTATTATGTTCAGCAGACTGTGTTCTTCTATTGTTGTGACTTAGATGACGTTCAGAGCACATTTTATGCCAAATTCATGCAAAACTCCACGTAATCCCAAGGGGTTCACATACTTTGTCTTGCAACTGTATACAGTATATCTTACAATTAAGACTTGGACATTTTTTTCTGCACATTTATCTGGACTTCAAAACGTGTTTTCACGTGTTTGCTTGTTCATCTGTTTGGGATATGTGATTATGTGTCCACCTGACTTAGATAAGGATTGTTTTGCACTTTTTATAAGCAGTTAATATTTAGACTAGTGCTGTTGTATAGGGGAATCTTTTATTCACCTTTTCTATACACTCTGGGGGGGTTTTAGCAGGGATGCTGGTGATTTACTATTATTGATTTATTTTGTTTATGGGTTGATGTTTTACTTCACATTACAGTATATACAGTAGTTTCTCTGTAGCAGAGAAGGGTTAATATAAATTTTGCAAGACTCAAGGAAGTTATAGGACCAGCAGCAGAGGAAATATTGGGAGACTTAGCAGCAGTGTACAACAAATAAGGACTGACCCCAGTTGACTGACTGATGCCTGATCATGGCCCCAGATGGTTGACCACATTGCAGATAAGCACTCACCACTTGCTTGAACAAACCCAACACAGGATAATTTCTTACAGTATTAATTAAATTCCATCCATGTTTGTAGATCATACACAGTGTATATTTGTTTTACAGCAACAAGTGACAAGATTTGGTCCAATGCTATCATGGGTTTGCAGCAAGAGATTTGTGGTCCAAATCCCGCTGACAGCAGAGTCATGATTGTTAGGATGCTGCCTCCTTAACAACCAGCTATTCTTCACAATGAATTTGGATTGATTCTATATTTTCGATTTGATTCAAATTCAAATACTTCTGAGAATTCAAATCCATTCAAAAACAATAATCAAAATGAAAACAAACGTTAAATGAAACGAATTACGAAAACAAATCATCTGAGTTTAATGAATGCAACAAAACAAAATTTTTAAGTTAACGGACCCATTAGAAACCAAATGAAACAAACTTTTTCATTCTGCACATGTCTAGTTTGCATCTAAACCATCACTTATATTAACCTACCTCATCTATCCCCATGGTAGAAAGAAAGTTATCCATATACTGGTAAGGCATATTATCCCTTATTAACCACTTCCTGACCGGCCGTTCTATATAAACGGCCGGACGGTGGCACTGCAGGGTCGGGTGGCCGTTTATAAACGGCCTCCCCGCACCCTGCTTGTGCGTGCTCCCTGGGAGCGCGCAGCACCGCGATCCGGTGCCCACACAGTGAAACACCGATCATCGGACGGGTCCTCTGTATGAGGTCCCGATCATGTGATCATTGATTGGCCAATCAGTGATCACATGCAAAGTAGTAAGCAAGATGTCACTTCTGACATCATTGCTTACTACGTGTGAAATCTGTGAATGATCACAGAGGTCACATGGTACAAGGCTATTCACAACAGCCTTGTACCATGTGACAAGCTGTGTGACTAATCACAGCTCACACAGTAGTTCTCAGTGGCTGCAAGAATGCAGACAGAGAGAAAGAGAAATGATTGCTTTTACATCCTATATGGGTGTAAAAGCAATCAGTGTAAAAAAAATAAAAAAAAAATCTTCATCACCCCCCAAAAGTAGTACAGTGTCACCATGGTGACATTGTACTGCTAGGGTGACAGCATGTAAAAAAATAAATAAATAAAGAATAATATAAAAAAAATAAAAATGTAAAAAAAAAATGTTTAAAAATTATAATTTTTTGGTTATAAACTAATTTGGCTTATTTTTTTTTTTTTACTAAAAAGATAACGGAATAAATTTTGGCCAAGATTTGTGATGAAATATTATTTATTTGCAAAATTTTATAAGAAAAACACTTTTTTTCAAAATGTTTGGACATTTTCATTTACATAGCAAAAAAAAATGTAAATCCCAGCGGTGAATAAATACTGCCAAAATAAAGTTTATCTGTCTCAAAAAATGGTAAAAAATTCATATGGGTACAGTTTTGCTTGACCGCGCGCAATTGTCATTCAAAGTGTGATAGCGCTGAAAGCTGAAAATTGCCCTGGTCAGGAAGGGGGTAAAAGTGTCCAGACTGGAAGTGGTTAAAATGACCTGCTGCTAGCCAATTTTACGTCTATAGTAACTTAATTCTAGTAGCAAAACTCTTGCTGTGCTCTCTGTCTCAAGCAAATTTGTGACATCAAGGGACAGAAATTGTCTGTATCTGCAGCCATGAGAAGCGGAAGCGCCCCATTGATTTCTGCAGAAAGATAGGACTGGAGGCTGCTCACTGACAACCATGGTGTCCTGCTGGACCCTGGGAGAAATTTGCTAAAAAAATTTAAAAGATGGTTCCTACTGTCCATAAAAGATTTTATGCTGCAACAAAATCCAATGTGTTTTGAGGGCTAAGCACTCCCCCTTCATCAGGACTGACACTCAGACAATAAAGAAGAGAATATAAAAATATATATATATTGTGGGAACTAGCACCAAGGGTAGAGCTTTTTAAGAACACATTACTCGCTTCTTTTTTTTAAGGGCTGCTTTTGCCCAATTTTATTTAGCAGAAAGTTCCATATAACAGGTTTCCCACGCAGGGGTATCCACCATCAATACAATGGTCTCTCTTTATCAGCCCTGCTGGTTAGCAGTATCTCTATTTATATGGGTCTCCCAGACCACTGGCTAGTCCCAGCACACAGCGTTGGACTCCTTGAACGCACACAGCCTCTTTCCAAAAAATGTCTTTTTGCACACAGCGAGCAGCCCCTTGCTGCTCTGGCTTCCACCTCTCCTAGGTGGAGCCCTCCTGACTCCAGGGCAATGACCTCTTGTCTGCTGGGGTGGAGCCCAGAACCCTGGTCCTGACTCTAGAAGAGAGCCATGCACACATGACCAATCAGTCTCCTGGCCATTCCCAAAACCTGGTCCCAGGATTGGAGATTTCATCCCTCCAAAATCACTTTGAAATCTCCAGGCTCCAGGTCCCAAAATGGACTTTACAAACAAATGAGAAAAGTGAAAAGCCACTTTCCTCTGCATCAAACAACTATCCTGGAGCCCCTCAACCTGCCTTGTTGAGAATCCCAGGTGAAATATCCTTTTTATATTGTGACAGATCACCACACTGCCACAATACATATATATATATATATATATATATATATATATATATATATATACAGGTGAAGCTCGAAAAATTAGAATATCGTGCAAAAGTTAATTTATTTCAGTAATGCAACTTAAAAGGTGAAACTAATATATGAGATAGACTCATTACATGCAAAGCAAGATAGTTCAAGCTGCGATTTGTCATAATTGTGATGATTATGGCTTACAGCTCATGAAAACCCCAAATCCACAATTTCAGAAAATTAGAATATTGTGAAAATGTGCAATATTCTAGGCTCAAAGTGTCCCACTCTAATCAGCTAATTAAGCCATAACACCTGCAAAAGGTTTCTGAGCCTTTAAATGGTCTCTCAGTCTGGTTCAGTAGGAATCACAATCATGGGAAAGACTGCTGACCTGACAGTTGTGCAGAAAACCATCATTGACACCCTCCATAAGGAGGGAAAGCCTCAAAAGGTAATTGCAAAAGAAGTTGGATGTTCCCAAAGTGCTGTATCAAAGCACATTAATAGAAAGTTATGTGGAAGAGAAAAGTGTGGAAGAAAAAGTTGCACAAGCAGCAGGGATGACCGCAGCCTGGAGAGGATTGTCAGGAAAAGGCCATTCAAAAGTGTTAGGGACTTTCACAAGGAGTGGACTAAGGCTGGAGTCAGTGCATCAAGAGCCATCACACACAGACGGATCCTGGACAAATGTCGTATTCCTCTTTTCAAGCTGCTCCTGAACAAACAAACATCAGAAGCAACTTACCTGGGCTAAAAAAAAAAAACAGAACTGGTCTGTTGCTCAGTGGTCCAAAGTCCTCTTTTCGGATGAGAGCAACTTTTGCATCTCATTTGGAAACCAAGGACCCAGAAGAAGAATGGAGAGGTACACACTGCAAGATGCTTGAAGTCCAGTGTGAAGTTTCCACAGTCTGTGTTGATTTGGGGAGCCATGTCATCTGCTGATGTTGGTCCACTGTGCTTCATTAAGTCCAGGGTCAACGCAGCCATCTAACAGAAGATCTTGGAGCACTTCATGCTTGAGCTTTATGGGGATGCTGACTTCATTTTCCAGCAGGACTTGGCGCCTGCCCACACTGCCAAAAGCACCAAAACCTGGTTCAATGACCGTGGGATTACTGTGCTTGATTGGCCAGCAAACTCGCCTGACCTGAAGCCCATAGAGAATCTATGGGGCATTGCCAAGAGAAAGATGAGAGAAATGAGACCGAACAATGCAGAAGAGCTGAAGGCCACTATTGAAGCATCCTGGTCTTCCATAACACCTCAGCAGTGCCACAGGCTGATAGCGTCCATGACACGCAGCATTAAGGCAGTAATTGCTGCAAAAGGGGCCCAAACCAAGTACTGAGTACATATGCATGCTTATACTTTTCAGAGGTCCGATATTGTTCTATGTACAATTCTTGTTTTATTGATTGCATGTAATATTCTAACTTTCTGAGATTGTGGAATTGGGGTTTTCATGAGCTGTAAGCCATAATCATCACAATTATGACAAATCACGGCTTGAACTATCTTGCTTTGCATGTAATGAGTCTATCTCATATATTAGTTTCACCTTTTAAGTTGCATTACTGAAATAAATTAACTTTTGCACGATATTCTAATTTTTCGAGTTTCACCTGTATATACAGTTGTGCTCAAAAGTTTGCATACCCTAGCAGAAATTGTGGCGTTTTGCCATTAAAATTTAAAATATGACTGATCATGCCAAAAAACTGTAATTTATTTAAGGATAGTGCTCATATGAAGCTATTTTTTATCATATAGTTGTTTGGCTCCTTCTTAAATCATAATGAAAACAGAAATCCGTCATCGGAGCCCGGATATGACGGTATCACGCTTTCTTCGATGTACGTTTTGTCTGGTGGCGTCTTCCTGAAGACATCACCAGGCGAAACATACGTCGAAGAAAGCGTGATACCATCATATCAGGGCTCCGGTGATGTCACGCCCAGCCAAGGCAGAGGCTTGGAACGCACGTTGGCCATCTTTGATCTAAAATATACAGGCAATACATGCTGGTGCCGGCTTCTTAGGCACCTTATCATGTGAGTGCATTGAGTTTGTTATTATTCTTGGCATATTAAATACTACACTTAGATCGTTATTACTGTTGTGTTTTTTTTTAGTATCATGGCATAGAAAGCCAGGATTATCTATTTGAATCCCTTCAACTATCATTTGGGGAATTTATGGGAAATTATACATCAGTCCTTCTGGCTAGCCAACCTGGAGGTGTGGGTGTTGGTGATCGTATTGGGAGGAACCTCCAGCGATTTATAACACACAATGCAATATATTACTACTGTAATGGGGGTCATATATGTCCCTTTAGGGGGTTAATATATTAACACATATTATTTGGCTCCACAGTAATTCATTTCTGATTGGTTATTTGTATATATTATCATGTTACACATGTGTATGATTATGTACGTAGTCAGTTATTGGTTTGTCACTTCACCATCTAGCAGCTCCTTCTGGGATAGAGCTACATAACTATCAGACTGCACTCCAATTCTATACGTTATGTTCACAATAACCATTTTATAGATATATCTGCTGTACTCACCCTGGTTCACAGGAGTACTCCACTATAGCTCCAAATACAAATTCATTTTCACTTTTAAGCTCAAATGTCCCAAACTGAATGTCCCCGGGGTGACCACAGCGTCTTTCTGTTAGCAACATAAAATATTGGCATAAAATATATTGTTATATACAGCAAACTTATTGTGCTTCTATGCAGTTAAGATACATAGTATAATATTAAATATAATATGGATTTGATTCTGTGTTTTGTGTATTTCTTTGTCTGTTCCCAGTGCCAGATTAAAACTCTGTGGAGGTCACTATATGTAGTCAGCACCTTGTGGCCCTTCTCACTTCTGCATGCTCTAGTGCAGGAGTACTCAAACTGCGGCCCGTGGGCAACAAGTGGCTCTTGGAGTCCTTTGATGTGGCCCTCAACCTCAAACCAGGGAAGCATTTACATGGACTCGGCAACCCATTGATCATGATCTCGGCTTGCCAACCCACCATACTAGAGCATCAGAGTGCATCAAGCAAGAGCAGAGTTTTAATTATGGGTGACTTCAACATGCCTGACATTAACTGTAATTCTCAAACTGCTATTACAAGCAGGAACAGGGATGTAATGGGAGCACTGAATGAGGTTTCTCTAAAACAGTAAAAAGACCTCCGGAGTTGATCATATTCTAGACCTAGTACTGACAAATGGCAATCAACTGTCTGAGGTGGGAGAATATTTGCGGTCTAGTGATCACCAATGTCTTTGGTTTGATATTAAAACAAGAACTGAAAAATCATATACACAAACAAAAGTTTTAGATTTCAAA